TACATCACCCAGCGATGAGTTTTGGACTTTTTTTCACTGCAAGGGCCAATAGTACTATGATACAATGGGGTGGTTGGTTTTTTTTTTTGGGGGGGGGGGGGGAATTTGAAGTGGAAAACTATATATTTCATAAGCTTTATATGAAAAGTGTTCATGAAATAGATCATAAGGTTATTCAAATGCAATCCATTTTCTGCCATCTTCTCGAGGAAATGCTATTTTTCAATGGAGTGTAGCTAAATAATTTATACATGTAAAAAGCTGACTCCCTGACTTGGAGAGGACCGGTAAACTTCAATGCATATATGAGAGTAAGCCAAGAAATTCTTACTACTATCACAAGGAAAATTATGATAAAATGGCCTTCTTTTCAAGTATATAAAAAAGGAAGAAATGTACAAATGGGTGACTCAATTGAAAGGAGATTCACTTCCGAAAAATCTGAGAGATCTGAAAGAAATTCAGTATCAAAGGACCATGACTGCCATTGCAGTCTTAAATGTTATTGCATCTTGGACAAGGCTGGTGAGCGGGGCATGCTGAATGATATGAGGGGCACTCTGATACTGGTATGAGAAAAACTAGTCACTTCTAAATAGAATGACTGGGGGAAAATTGGAAATGTGTGGCTTAAGACTTCAAAATTGAACTGTGTTTTTTTTTTTTACGCTGATTTCCTAAAGTGGCTACAATATGCTGATGGGAATGATGTAGCCATTAGACTTAACAATTTTGAGGTCTTCACAACTTGCTATTATAAATATTACAGGAGGGCACATTTTACTAATCACATTCATGAAAGGGAGACTGAATTAATGTTTTCAATTTTGTGCTTGTGCACAAACATCTACCCTCCCCAACCTGCTGTCCTCTTAGCTAGGAGTGGGTTGATTTATAGTCACAACACATCTGGAGGAATTGCTGATATATTCACTAGGATAGGCCACATGGATATCCTTAAACTAAATAGATGTTAGTTCTGAATTAACATGCTGCTTTTAAATTTTTTTCATAATTAAAGTTTATCAGAGATGGTGTCTCTCCAAGATAAGACTCATCATTGAAATGTGAACAATTAGAACACAATCATAACTTTTAACAAAGTGCCAAATTATGTTTCCCAATAATATTTAAAAATATTTACAGAAGATGATAAAAAAACAGAATGCTTTTCTGCTAATGGTAATTAAATTTTGTAATTTCATAAACAGGGAAAATGGTATATTTGCTCAAATAAAAATACATTGGAACAGCTGATGCTTCAAAGTGCTCATGTGTTCAAAGAAAATTCTAATATAATGCTAGAAGTGCTTTTCCATTAACGCTTATCATCAGGAGGGGAAATTACACTCAGCTTTTAATCTCTGTAAACTGCATCAAGCAAATGACCCTTTATCCAAGAATCAGAACATTAAAGCACAGACAGCATAGATGTTTGGGGTATTTGAATCCAAAGGAGAGACTGCATTCTGACACTAAACTGGTACCAGAATGATCTAAACTCAAAGTTTAATCTTCAATATTGACAGGCACTTAGAAATAGATATATTTTAATAATCAGTCCCAAACAGTAATTTTTACTATTCCATAGTAATGAACTGTTTTATTTTTCCAATTCATTAGCTAAAACAAATGTCACTTTAGGCCACTGAAGGATATGTGACATTTGGGGTATGTGTGGGCATATTTGGCATTAAAAAAGCATTCTTGATAAGATTGAAAGGGGTGGAAGGATGACTATGTGAAACTGGTAATTGTGGAGGTGCACAATTAAGCTCACACTGCTCCTTTCTCTCAGACATGAGGAAGATAAAAGGCATGGAGGGGAAAAAACATTTAGAGAGGTAGGGAAGCAAACAGATGAAAAGATGGATAAAGATAGAGGGACTAGTACTGTATGTACATATGAAAGCAGTAACAATAATGATAGAGAAGAGACAAAGAGAGGTAGGAAAATGTAACTTTTCCCTTCCACACAAATAATTAGAGAAAACAGTTCTATTGATATAAAAAGAGAGGGAGCACCACCCCCCATCACGCCTACCTCCTGGCCTCCAAGAGTCAATGACGGCAAAGTAAAAACACCAAAAGGAGGAAAAGAAGAAAGAAGTAGGAAGGAAGGTAATAATTGAAGGAAAAAGTGATTTAGATAGGAAAGTCCAAGCCAAAGTAATAATTCAGCTGGAGCTCATAGAAAACAATCCTGAACGGGCAGACTGAGGAAAAATTCTGGGGATTAGCAATACCAGGAGGCGTGGCCAAGGAAAAAGTTTCCTCAGTCCCTGGGCAACCAGACTGAATTAACCCGTTGCTTGGACTCTCCAAGCGGTGCGCAGGAAAAACTTCCAAACACAGCTAGAAGGTTATGAGAACCTACCCATTCCATTACCTCCAGGCATTCTATGTTGGGACTCTTCTCTACTCTCTTTATAGAAGGGCAAAGCAGGTTATATTTACTCAAGAATCCTACTACGTCAATGATGCAGGTGGGAGCTTCACCTGATTTTGGGCAAGATAGGACAATTTTTTTTAAAAAAAAAATAGTACATCAGAAATAGAAAATATTTTCTTAATACCATACTTGTAAGAGATGATGCCGGGCCTTGGCTCTTTGCCAAACAAGGAATCAATAGACACAGACAGCCCAGTACTAGTCAAAGATACTAAAATATTCTGTATGAAATAAAATTTCAGAGCTTTCTCAAGAAAAGAATAGAAACACATTCCATTCAACAAAGTCTTCTTAATTTTAAAGTCATATTACTTGTAGCACTCCAACCATTCATTTTTTAATTTATTTTTTGTTATCAAAGACAATGTCCAGAAACAGTACTAAAGAATCAGTTCATGGCATAGTTTTACAAAAATTTCTACCAGACAATTATTGTATAGTTGGATGTATTTTTTAATTAATGATGATGTGAATTAATCAATGAAATTGCTAGCAAAAAATCCTGCAAAGAAATATGTATTCTGATTGTTTAAATCTGTTGGTTGGAGCATGTTGAGTGCAACATAATTCTTGCCCATCAGGAGAACGAGACATGGCTCTTCTAAAATGTCACTGATCTTTCAGAAAGAGGCACCATATTTCATATTCTCCACATACAAAATATGCTCATGTCACTTAAATTACATAATGCAGCAGTGTTAAAAGTCTTATAGTTTATTAATGGCAAAGAAATGAGCCCAAAATCCATATGTGATTCATGGGAGGAACATATTCTCAGAAAGACAAAGAGTATAAAACAATAGTTCCTGTTGAATGTGTATCAGTGTGCATGTGTGCAGTGTGCATATAACAAAGTTCAAACAGTGCCCTATCAAATTGTTCCAAGCTGTGCATCCAGTCTGAACAGTAAAAGGCTTTCATTTTAACCATATGTTAAATTGCAAATTCACATCCTACAAAAGTCAACAATATGGTTGGTTGTAATAGTTCAAAGTAAAAGTTGCTATGAATTATTTTGCTTGCCTTTATTTGTCAGCCTCTTCATATATGGGATACTTGACTGTCTCAATTTTCTCTTTCACTTTATAGGAAGGGTATAAACCTGTTCTCCCTAATTTTCTATTTATGCCTTTGGAATAGCCATCCCAGTGGTTTCCAGCAACACCAATTATATCTCCAGCTTCCATAGGAATTTCATCAGCAGTTCGAGGATGATGAGCATAAATTGCAATCTGGTTGTGGGCATTCTGTCCCCCAAAGTAATAAATATCATCCAAAGAATGAAAATAGGCAGATGCATCAGGATGTAATGTCTGCATGATTTCATAAGCAACTCGACAAACCTAGAAAAATAAAGGAAAAATATTATCAGGTTGGTATTATTTAACATCTGCCAATTGATTAAACATATCCAAAAGAAGTGTATATTATTAGACTTTTCTTCTGTTTATTCTTAAAACATATTCAATAATATAATGAAATGCAACTCTCCTTACTCTTTTACAGGTGGTCCTCGACTTGCAACCATTTATTTAGTGACCTTTTGAAGTCACAACTGCACTAAAAAAGCGAGTAATGACTGTTTTTTATGCCTATGTCTGTCGCAGCATCTCCATGGGCACATGGTCAAAATTTGGATGCCTGACAATTGGCATGTATTCATGACATTTGTCATATCTTGGGGTCATGTGATCACCTTTTGCAATATTGTGACAAGCAAAGTCAATGAGGAACCCAGCTTCATTAACAACCATGTTGCTACCTGAACAATTGCAATAATTCACTTAACTGTGGCAAGAAAGGCGGAGCAAAACTCACTTAACTGTTATTTTTAGCAATGGAAATGTTGGGCTCAATTGTGGTTGAGGACTTTCTTACTATATTTTAAAATGTACAAAATCCAAACAATTCCAATCTGAAACAGTCATCTAATGTATCTTCTCTATCAGCTACTATTTTAGGTGATATTGTTTGACCGTTTTCAAACCATTCTACTTGTTAATGATTTGGAGGGTCTGCAAAATATGGTATGAATGCACAAAATACAAAGCATCACTATCACGTCTTATTTTTTTAGAAAGTTTGCCTTGTCTTAATCTACCTCTAATTTATTAAGAATAGATGTTTTCCCGCAAATAGTAATGATTACATTTTCAGTGACAACTTAAGTCACAGTACTGTACACTTTATAGGCTATAAGGCTGATTTCTTTAATAATCCTTCAAAACTCTGCTACAACAAAATTAGCACATATCCTTCATTAAACCCTTCGGAGTGTTAATGGAGCCTACAGAATCTTTATCACATGGTTCTATTGGATCAAGTTCAGATTTTGAGTGGATCATTGTCCACTCATTGAAATATGTTTTCCTGTAAATTAAATGAATTATTCTGTCTTGCACTCTGAAATGAGAGAGAACATGTCTTGACATCCTATGTAAATTATTTTCAGATATGTGAAGAGTTCTATCATCTTACATCAACACCTGACCTCAATTTGTTTTCTCATGACTAAACTTCCTTCAATCTTTCTTCATAGGGCTGAGTTCCAATTTCTCCTAATCCTGTTTTAAATAATATAATCTCATTTGTAGTGATTGGGAGGAAAAATAAGACTTCTCATTACAGTGTTGTTAATGGAGCTAATGTCACAACGTATTAGCTGAAATGCATCTTTTCTTTCAGTATTTTACAAAATAAAAGAGCAAGGGCAAATAATACAATATGGATTATGAATTTGGGGGTGCCTTTTAAACCTTCCCATTCTACTTACGTGCTTCTCAACCTCAGAAATTTTAAGATGCAAACAAGTAGTCCTCAATTTACAACCTCAATTGAGGCCAACATTTCTGTTGCTAAGTGAGACATTTGTTAAGTGAATTTTACCCCATTTTACAACCCTTCTTGCTACAATTGTTAAGTGAATCACTGCAGTTGTTAAGTTAGTAACACAATAGTTAAGTAAATCTGCCTTTCCCATTGACTTTGCTTCTCAGGTCACAATTGCCAAGCATCCAAATTTTGATCAAGGTGCTCATGGAGATGCTGCAATGGTTGCAAACGTGAAAAGTGATCAAAAGTAACTTTTTTCAGTGCCATTGTAACTTTGAACAGTCACCAAATGAACTATTGTAAGCTGATAACTGCCTGTACTGGTTGGGAAAGTGTGGGAATTGTTCATATCTTAAAATTGCTGGTGCTGAGAAACATTGCTCTACATAAAAATGCCTCTTTCCCTAACTCTACTTTGTAATAGATTCTAAGAAGATAATTTTCTTTGGTCTGCATAAATAACAATTCTAGATGTATCAGGATCATGGGAAAGAGGAAATAGGTTAAAATTCTTCTGATTGCTGTCATCTTTACATCATGCACCTACTCTATTTTAATTGTAAAATTTTACGCTGATCTGAAGTCTACCTCCTACTGTTTGAGGAACCCATGCTGCCAGCCCATCTTTCCCAGTTATGTCTGAGATCACTTTAATTTACACTGTACCACAACACACGAAAACAACATTTGGCTGTTTTTGAGCAGATCCAAACTGTATACCATGTTAAGGTACAGAGCAAGTTTGGTCTACTGGTCAAGTCCACATATCAGACCTTGGGAGACCATGAGTTCTAGGCCTGCCTTATATACAAAACCAGATGGGTAACTTTGGACTAGTCATCCATTCTCAATCCTAGGAAAGAGACAATGGCAAATCACTTCCAAAAAGCCTGGTCAAGAAAACTGCAAGGATTAGTCCAGGCAGTCACCAGGATTCAAAAAGNATTGCATGTAATATTCTAATTTTCTGAGATTGTGGATTTGGGGTTTTCATGAGCTGTAAGCCATAATCATCACAATTATGACAAATCACGGCTTGAACTATCCTGCTTTGCACGTAAAGAGTCTATCTCATATATTAGTTTCATCTTTTAAGTTGCACTACTGAAATAAATGAACTTTTGCACAATACTCTAATTTTTTGAGTTTCACCTGTATATTGCTGTTTATGAACACAAGAAAGGATTTTATAAATTCTGCAAGATATTGGTATCTTTTTAAAAATGTAGATGGAACAATTTGTATTCCAATCCTGGCCCGAAGATTACAGAAGTTATCATCAATCACCCATCCTACATAATCTGGCTTTCTTAAAGGGTGCAAAGTTTCTGATTAAATGAAATTATTGGTAGATATTTCAACAGCATAATCTGAGAAATATAAAATGGCCATAATGGTCCTTTTGGTCATGGAAAAAACTCTTCAATGTTGTACAAATTAAATTAACATTTATTGTGAAACTCATCAAGGTTGTTCCTTATCTCTTCTTACAATTTGGAGCTGGAATCATTGGTTTGTCTTATTAGACTCTTTTGTGATATTCAAAGAATGCAGATGGCAGAAATGGAGCTGAAGTTATAGCAAATGGCTTATGCATTTTGGGCCTTTTAAAAATAAACAAAGATTTTTGCCAGATTTCTGGAAACTGTACAGCAATATGATGAATACAGTACAGGATATTCTAGTCTGGAATCTATTGTTTTTAATCATTTAGTTATGTCCGACTCTTGCTGACTTTATAGGCAAGTGCTCCATGCTATCCTTTCAAGCACAGCTTCTTTCAGTTGTTGTATGTTCAACTTTGCGTTAGATTTGATGGAATATATTACAATCAATCTAATATTTTATCAAGATGCAATGTTTCCTAAGGACCCAGGAAACTTTAGGCTTTGTCAATTGCTTTGATTTTATTATTGAATATATATATTCATAGGAAAGCACTCTTCTTGGTAGCTTTGAATATTTCAAATTGTTTAATATAGATGAGCAATTTATTGTTTATTAATCTGATCTTACTAGAAGATTGTTTAAAAATACTTAGCAATTTCTGGGAAGGAGTCAGCGTGAAAATATTGTGAATATCATTGATAGATAGATCATAGAAATGATCTATCTTCTAAGAGAGATGTTGAGGTTACTTCTGCTTAAATTTTGTTAACAAAATGATAAATCAATGATTAACCCCACTCAGTTATAACTTGTATGATTTTTTTTAATTATATGATTTGTCATATTTCTTTATTTCTATATTGTATGTAACAAAATGTTACTGATTATATATGGGCCCATATTTGGCATGTCTGAAATACTGGCCAATACTAGATTCTAAGTGTGTATAGATGTAAATATACAGACACCCAGACACGTGTATATTTGTGTGTGTGTTTTTGTGTGTCTCTCTGTGTGTGTTAGCTTTTTTAATGTATCTACCTATGAGCAGTTAAAAATTGAATAAATAAAATTATACTTGTTAACTTTGTGTGACTTTTCTTTTCATATTTTTAAATTTAATTTAATTTAAAAAATACTGTTTAGGTTTTATTTATTTAGGTTCTAAGATAATAGGAACTGGGTTTTATTTCCAACACTGAGGGTGATCAGACACATTTGGACACTGACGGGAAATAAATTAATATTTGATCTTTGCTTTCATTATAAAATGTCCCTTTGGATAAATTCTTATTTTAAGATACCATTTATATACATTATATAGGCTGAAAATGGGACACATAACTTTAATTGTATTTATACTTAAAAGTTAATTCACCAAATAATTTATTGGACTCTTTAGTGAACGCTTTAAAAAGATTACTTGTTGAACTTTTTCTATTAGAGATGCAATCAATTTTAAGGTATATTATTACATATGCTTTAATCCATGCTATCCTGTCTTTGGCAGCTTCCTATTTGTTGACTATTTTTAGTCTGGTGAACAACCTTGTGGAAGGAAATTAAGATTGAAAATTTGAACATGTTCCTAAATCTTTTTCCAATAAATTGGCACAAATGACCAGGCTCAGAAATTATTTTAGTTTGGAAATATTATGCAAAGACTTAGCTCTTTGGAAAAGGCTTTCATGATGGGAAAAATGAAAGAGAAGAGGGAAATCAGCAGCAAGGCAGATAGACTAAGTTATAGTAGTCATGGGTACATCATTAGAAGGTCTGAAAGACCAGATTATGGACAGATTGTCATGGAGGAAATCTATCTTTGTGGTTGCTAAGAGTTGAGATTGACCTGTTGACACATAATCAATCTATCTACAAAGAATTCCGGATTTACTGTGTTTGGACTGTTCTCAAAAAAATCATAATGTCTTCCTATAGAAAGACAGGTTGAAGAATTGTGTCAACTCTTAAATCTGATTTTCTATTAACTTAGAAGAGTGGATAATGTCATTCTGTGTGATCAAGGTTTCATTTGTTGTTGAATAATGGAGCCATCACAATTTTTTTAACAATCAGTGTTGTGTAATATTAGCTTTTGGTCTTTGTTAACTATTTTATGCTTTTTTAGTTATCTATCAAAGCAAGTCTTTAGAAAGTCTGCATTTTATGTAGAAGTTCAGCCTCAAATAAACAAGCTATGACATTGTATTCTTGTACTTATAATTTTCAGACTATTTAATATAGGTATTGCATTTTAGGAAGCTTTCATTAAGGAAAAGATTTTTGAAATGACATTTGTTACACAATCATTCAGAGGATGATATGCCATTTTGGGCTCCATTAGAGAACTCACTGAAAGGGATTAAGAATCACATATAAATGAACCATCTTTTTGTTATCCACCAGGTCATTGTACTTTTTATATATTTATTGCATAATACTGTGATACTGTACTAGTTGCATAAAATGCACCTGCATCTCTAAAATTATGCTATTTATTGGGAATGTTCTTACAGTTTTTGTAAAAGTTATCTCATTTCAAAGAAATCCACTTTCTATTCTAATATCTGTAGAGAACATTACTTTCTGCAGAGGTAATGTGACTGCTCACAAGAGTAGCTACATTTCTATGCAACAATCTCTATTCATAAACTGATTCTTATGTAAGCAGCTTGCTATATTTCTAAAACTTGAGTTGTCATATGCCCTTTGGAGAGCCAGATAAATCCAGTTATATTTTAAGAGAACCTTTTAATACCCAGAATCAGAAATATTATAAATATAATTGCATGCCACGTGGGCATGTTTTTTAACTAATGCTTTTTAAAAAAAGCTATTTTTGGCCTAACTTGCATTTTAAGTTTAAATCAATTTTGAACCTAATTTCATTTACTAGGTCAAGGCAATTCTGTACACTATCTATGTCAAGTAACGTACCATATTTTTCGGACTATAAGATGCACCAGAGTATAAGACGCACCAAGATTTTGAAGAGATAAATCTAAAAAAAAAAAAAGGTTTTGCCCTCCCCGGCCCCAGGAGCACTCTGCAGGCCTCCCAAACCCTCTGCAAGCCCCATTTTTTGTGAAGGCAAAAACAAACAAAAAATGGCCTGTTTTTCACTCCTTTTTGCCCTCCCCAGCCCCCAGGACCAGTTTGCAGGCCTCCCAAACCCTCTGCATGTCCATTTTTGCGAAAAACGGGGCAGGGTTTCGGGAGGCCAAAAATGCTGTATTCAGTGTATAAGATGCACCCAGATTTTCACCCTCTTTTTGTTTGGGGAAAAAGGTGCATCTTGTACTCCAAAAAATATGGTACTTGAATTAATGGTTTTTGTGTTTCCAGAGCTGGAGGGAGAAGTTTTGGAGAAAAGTACTCACCTCCTTTTAGATTTTTGCTGAATATTTGTGTGTCTTTGCCACTGAATATTAAATTCAGTTTAATATAGATCATGTAGATCCTACTGATATGCAGTATAAAGGGAATCTGAGTGAACAAATAATAGCAAAGTGAAGAGCTGTGCCAACCTCCCTTGCTCAATCCTTTTTAATTGATAACATCATTTAGGGTTTGGTAAACTCCCAAGGACAGTCTGTGACTCCTTACTAGTAGAATCCCTGACTGGTTGTACTGAGCCAGACTTATCAGTCAGAATGCCTTATTGCCTCTTGAATGGCAGCTGAGAATCAGCTATGTTGTCCTCTTTGCCCTCAGAGTCAGAGAAGTCTGGAACACTTCCAAATTGCTGAATGTTTTTACGATTCTCTGGATAATTTTATACTGTGCACTTCAAATAACTGATGAGATCGATAGTGAAACTGCCCAAATGTGGCCATCCTATCTCCATCCTGAGATTATGTCTTTCAATCAGTGCAACAGTGGAAGTTAGGAAATAAGTTTCCAGATCTGTTATATCTTTGACTTTTCCACACTGGCAATCCCAGTTGAATTTTTTCTTTTAATGAAATAAGCACCAAACTGTACCATTTATCCATTCATTCCCTTTAGCACTACCATTCATATGAAATACTGACAACATTTAGTGGCAAAAAATGCAATAATGAGAACATTTCCATTAGGCCAGGGGTGTCAAACTGAAGGCTTGGGGCCAGATCCAGGCCGTGGGGTGCTTAGATCTGGCCTGCGAGGTCGCCCTGGAAACAGGGAAGGACCGGCCCACGACGCCTCTGCCAGCGAAAACAGAGCTTGGGAGGGCTGCACACAGGTCATCCCAAGTTCCGTTTTCGCTGGCAGAGGGTTGCAGGATGCTGTCGCAGCCGAAAACAGAGCTCAGTAGCCCATTTTCTCTGGCAGATTGCCCAGGCCACCACAGGTGCCATCAACACAAGTGATGTTGAGCTGTCCATGCCCACCCTGGCCACACCCACTCTGGCCTCCCAAGGTCAAACAGAACCCTGATGCAGCCCTCAATGAAATAGAGTTTGACACCCTTGCATTAGGCTCTACTTTCCTTATTCCTGAACATTGGATATAACACAGGTAGTCCTCAACTTAACAACCATTTGTTTAGTAATGGGTCAAAGTTACAATGGCACTGAAAAAAAGTGACTTATTACCATTTTTCACACTTACATTCACTGCTGCATTCCCATGGTCACAGGATCAAAATTCGGACACTGGTAACTGGCGTGTATTTATGATGGTTGCAATGTCCTGGAATCATTTGATTGCTTTTTACAATCTTATAATAAGCAAAGTCAATAGGGAAGCACGTTTCACTTAATAACCATGTTACTAATTGCAGTAATTCACTTAATGACTGTGCAAAACAGGTCATAAAGTGGGGCAAAACTCATTTAGCAATCGAAATTTTGGCTCAGTTGTGGTCATAAGTCTAGACTATCTGTATTAACATCACTTAACAACAGCTCTGTATTTGGCCCAGAACCTCTTTGGTCTACAGGCCTCATGATTTTAAAATCTCTAGTCTGCCTTTGGGTATGCCTTGCCTCCCCCGACCCCCACCCCCCCACTATTCTTAGCAAAATCTTGCCTGCTGAATTTGAAAACTTGCTGGGAACTTTTGGTGGGGAGGGAGGAGAAAATGTCATTTTGGGTGATACATCACCCAGCGATGAGTTTTGGACTTTTTTTCACTGCAAGGGCCAATAGTACTATGATACANCCCGAGTGTTTGATTGTTGAACGAAAGTTGTGTTTTACTATTTTTTTTCTTTGTTCACATTTTGTTTTGTTTTTGATGCTGCACTTCCCTCCCTTGTGATTGTAAGCCGCCCTGAGTCCCCTCAGGGAAAAGGGCGGCCTATAAATTTTAATAAATGAAATGAAAATGAAATGAAATTTTTACATGCTTTCGAACTGCTAGGTTGGCAGAAACTGGGACAAGTAATGGGAGCTCACTCCATTATGTGGTACTAGGAATTCGAACCACTGAGCTGCCAATGTTTCTGATCAACAAGCGCAGCATCTTAGCCACTGAGTTACCACCAAATTCCATCTAGCAGCCATTACTAATAGCCATTTTGCAGCAATACACAGATATAAAATGCATTAAGAAATATTTCATTTTGTTTGTTTGTCCCAAACTATAGCAAAATAATAGTAATGATGCTAAAATATTAAAACTCTACTTATTCTTTCCAATTTCCATGACTAGTTGGAAAAAGAACTATGTTTTCTTGTTAATGTCTCCACAGAATGTTTAAAATACTGATTTATTGGTAATTCTATTATGTATTACTATTATTAATTTTAAACTATCTCATACACCTCTGGTATTTGTGTGTGTGTGTGTGTGTGTGTGTGTGTGTGTGTGTGTGTGTGTTATAGATTTCTAATTAGCCTCAAGTTTTGGAAAATAAATTAACTTACCTGTGAAGAAAAAGTGCACACAAGGAAGTCTGCCTGAGACAAGAAGTGTATATCCAAAATAACACCCCGCAGAGAGTTTTCAGTATATCGATTATGAAGACCTGCTGACCATGATATGGAATTGTCACTTATGAATTCATAGTTTGGATATCTGAAAAAAAATGCATCACATCATCACACTTTTGTTTTCTTAAGGAAACAGTGTAGTGTCTCTGCACAATTTATTAAGTAAGTCTGAATTCTTGTTCTGAACTGACACAGGCATAATAAGGAAGACCACATAATTTATTGGTACAAATTTTACTAACAAATGGAAAAGTACATGTATTTTGTAAGAAGTAAAAACTACTTGTATCTGAAGCTTTTTATAACATCAATCTTGGCAGTCTCTTATACAATCAATCATGGTACCTTTCTGCTGAAAGAGATAACTACAGCTGTATACCATTAATATGCATATTAGATGCTACTTGTCATTTACCAACAAGGAAACAATCTGTACAATAACATGGATGGGGAGAAAAATCCTGAAATTAAATCCAGAAATGGAAAAGCATTTGGTCAACAGGAAAATGGACACAGGCACTGTGTTCATTATAGGTTTGCCCTTGCTCCATAAGGGCACTGGGAAGAAAGCAGACTTCTAAAGTTGAAAACTATGCTTTCTCAACAGGCAAAGATGAATCCCCAAGAAATTGATTAGAAATATGAAACCCAGTAATTAACAGTCAAACTGCCCAAACTGAACTTATTGTATTGAAAATATCTGAAGATAACTCTCCTCAAATTAAAAGAAAATAGTGTATCCCAATGGCTTCCTTCCAAACAGGAAGTAAAACTGTAACAATGTCCAAATATGGATTAATTGGAAATCGCAGTCAGAGTGTAGCAAATTATTCTCCCAAGTAGTGTAAGAACAGAAAAAGGACAATTCAGCTCTTGATTCAATTTTCTCTCTAGCATTATATACTAATTCCTAATATTTTCCCAGCAATTTTCATCTTAAGTGGCCACAAGCTTTTCTTACATCTGCATCTGGGGAAAAATAGTTTTTTTTTAATCCTTCTTGAGTAAGAATCAGGGCTATAATTCTGATTTTTTTCCTTACAAATTTAATGTGCAATTGAAAATCACTAAGTGATTTACATTGTGATATATCACTTGAAGTTAGAGAATAATGGGGAACAATGGTTTTATAAGTGTGATTGAGATAGATAGGATTCCAGCAGAAATTAAACATAATGAACTGGATTGAGAAGACAAAGAAACTTTTCATACCAGGGAAGATGTATTCTTGAGGTCCAATCTTCCAGTGGAAAAAAAATTACACCATAGGAGCAAGAATACTATGTGGAGGAAATTTTTAATGTAAATAATGATATTTTCTCTACCCTCAATCCTAAACCCCCCAAAGTTTGGATGATTTCAAATAATGTTGAGATAAATTTACTAAAATTTGGAAAACTCCAAAAACAAGACAGTAACATTGAATAAACCATAATGTTTAATGGATCTGCATCATGTAAAACCACTTTTGCATCAACTGTGAACCAGGATGCCTTACTTGGATTTTGCCTCTTGCAATAGCGAAGGATCATCTGTAGCCAAATAGACTCGCTTTTTGTCAATATGTTTTCTCCGGGAAAGAAGCTGGAAACGTTCTTCAACATGTGCCATGTATTCTTCAATTGGATGAAATGCTGCTTCTGTTCCCACTTTGTCTGTTCTACGGACGTGAATACTGGAAAATAACAGGAAAATTGGCATTTTTCTTAGACAACTCTTATTAATTCAAAACAAAGAGTCTGTGGCAATTCAAGGACCCTCTCCTGTAAGAGTCAGGAGGCCCTAAGCTTTAGAGAAGTGCCAAAAATCTTTCCTTCCCTCAACCAGCAAGATGTGAGTAACAACTCAATCTAGATTACTCCTTTTGACAGAATAAAATTCCATAGACTGTTCTGTGTATGAGTCTGCATGTATCTGCATTTTTTTTAAAAAAATCCAGGTATCTCAAATGCTCACATTAAGAAAATGCATTTTTTAAATCTCTTAGGATAGTAAAAGTTCATTCTAAGATAAAAAGCAGATGAAAACAATTTAACCTCATTATGTCAGATAGTTTATAACAAATGGAAATATTACAAAGTCAGAAAACTTTTAGCTAAGTAAACTTAAATGAGAAATGTAATTGAAATATGTAAGTTTCAAAAACTCTTTTCTCTCACTGCAATATCAGGACTGAAAACATGAAAACCCCAAATAAAATTGATTAGGTTAGGTTGTAAAGAAAGTATTTATTCATATATAAAAATCATCAATTTGTGAAATTCATTGCTGCAAGATAGATTAATTGTTATAGCTTATAAGACTATTTTGAATTATTTTTTTAAAAAACAAATATTTTTAATTTATTTATTAGACGATTAAATTTAGCGAAGTCAAGAAAATTAAAGAAATATTCAATCTAGGGATTATAGACATTTACTTATGAGCTGAAACATAAACCATTCAAATATGCATTTAAATCCCTATGTGGTTTATAAAAAATAACGCAATGTCCTTTATTTGATAATGATTAGATCATAAACAACAGCCTAAAGTTCTAAAAAAGGGGCATCAAATAGAAATTTCAAAAATCCAATTCATATCTCTTAAGTGATTAAACTGGCTACATCCTAGATCTGCCAACCAGCATAAATACTGATAAGTAGGTGCTTCCAATAACTAAGATCATATAGTTCTGCTAGTTTGTATACCCTTTCTAAGAAAACCATTTAAAAACAAAGATTAGACACTTGGATGTGGCTGAGAATTATTTCCTAAATAATTTGGAAGGCCAATAATTTATTGCCTATATAAGTGGTAGTCAACCTGGTCCCTACCGCCCACTNAAGGCAGGATCCAGAATAGAGGAAGAGATCTGATTGTGCAGTAGGACTTTTCTCACTCTCTGCTTAACTATGCTTGTTTTATTCTGATGCTCGAGAATCAAAGGATTTTCTACTAGGATGTAGCACACTAGTGAGTTTTCACTGTTTCTAATAGCTTATTTAAGCACACATTCCAGAAATAATGCAAAACAACAAACCCATATGCTATTCCTAAGTGAGAGTATTAAGATTTTAAAAGGCAAAAAAAAAGAATCAAGAAATGCATAATTTATGCAGGAAATTAATTGATATTGTGCCAGAGACTGTGATAGATGGGGAACATCTTCTTGCTATTAAGGAAGTTTTAAATCTATTATATTACAGTTGTTACAATTAATTATTTGTCATTGGGTCTACAGAAAATTGTGAGATTTAGGAAATCAAATATGTATTCTAGCTTTGTTGAAAGAAAAACTAGAAGTCTGGCTAAGCCCTAAACCTCATAAAGAAGCAGACTAAGATTTGGGAAGGTAGGAAGAAAACTCAGAACACAATGAACTAAAGAGCTAGGAACTAAGAGACAAGGGGGCTGAAAGAAAGACAGAATTGAATCAATAGTGCTCAGTCCACCCAAGCAAACAAGATATAAAACCCGCCATCAACTATTTTGGCAATAATACTTCTATAACATTCACAGTGAAGCATTATTTTTCAAAAGATAAAATGTTTAAATAATGTGTTTATAATCAATGAGTAATTTAACTGAAATTTGAATAATAAAAAATTAAAACTGGCATTTCAAATCAGATATATAATTGTCCTGTAAATAAAAAAAATCAGTAGTTGGTGTGATGACTATGCTTCAGAATGTATTCCTTTAAAGAACAAAATCAATGAATTGTTTGGTAATATAGTACAGTTTTATTTAGTGTACTTAAGAGATATCCAGGACTAATAAACACAATGTTTCTAGCATATCATCATAGTATTCAATAAAGGAAACACTTCTATGTTGTTATCATCTGGCATTAATTTATCATCTGGCATTAATTAAGAGCCAAGGTGGCGCAGTGGTTAAATGCAGCACTGCAGGCTACTGCTAGATCAGCAGGTCAGCGGTTCAAATCTCACCGGCT